AATCTTTGTTTGCATGCCTTTGAAATTGCAGGAATACTTTTCATAATAAGAATCGAGTAAAGGCCAATACGGGCGAACGTGACTCCATGACTCACTTCGTACCATCATCCCCGATCCTCCTTTCGTGGTTCCGAATCATATGGAGTTAGTAATCTCATGGATTATGAACGGGGTGTAACCTTCACGGGTCAATCGTTGTTGCCTATCGTTGTCCCTTAATCGTGGTTGCCTTATAATGATCAGTGAACGGTACGTTTACAAGTTGATTAAAAACTTGTTGGCGGCTCCCTACTAAAGCTGGGCACGGGCCGGGGTGGCCCGCGTGCCGCCCAGCACGGCCCGATCCCAGGCCCGGCCTGGCACGCCAATTGAACTTCGTGCCACGGACAGCCTTCTGGGTTTCCAAGCACGACCCGGCACGTGGCACGAACACTAGGCACGACACGCATGCTCGGCACGCAGGCACGGCCCGCCAGGCACGACCCGCATGCCGAACATTGCAACGGTCATATTACCGTTTGTAATAACGGCTAATTAACAAAAAAAACGGCTAGTTTTTTGCAAATTCCTCCCCAAATTTCCTATATATACCCACTTCCATTCACTTCCCAAATCACAATCTTTTCTTCTTATCTCTTATATTCTCTAAATCTCTAATAACCCTTAACCTCTTATATTCTCTAATAATTCTCTTATATTCTCTAATTATTTTCCTAATATCGGAAAAAATTAAAAAGTTCATAATCGTAATTAGTGGAGCGTTGAAACACAGTTGTAAGATCTAAACTAATCTTTAATTTATTATTGTTTTATTGTTATTATTAGAATAATCTTGTTTAATTATTATTGTTGTTAATTGTTATTGTTATTGTTATAATTGTTGTTATTAATTATTATTATTGTTACAATTATTGTTATTATTTATTATTGTTGTTATTGTTATTGTTATAATTATTGTTATTAATTATTATTATTGTTATTTTTATTGTTAAAATTGTTGTTATTAATTATTATTATTATTGTTAATCAGTTTTTATTAAAAATCTAATTGTTAATTATGGCATCGAACAACCCATCATCTAGGGGGGGGGGGGGAAGCCGACTTGGCCGTAGTAGTAGTTCTAGGGAACCACCTAATACAACGAGCCCCCAAATTTCGAGTCCAACCAATGACCCCGGTTACTTCCCCCCGGGCTATGAGCCATTTAGGCACGATGGTACTTCCGGTTTTCAACCCTATAATATGTCGGGATTTCCACCACCACCACCAAACCAATTTCCACCATAACACCAATTTCAAAATCCACAACAATTCCCACAATTCGGTCAATTCCCACCTAATTATTTTGGTGATCAACAAAACTATTATTCTAGCCAAAGTAGCCAAGAAAGTACCCAAATTCCCTCCGGTTCTACCCCTTCTACTACTACTAACCCAAACACACATCATGAATGGTTAACCGAAAGTGAGATGCTACTTTTGAAAAACCGAAAGAGTGATGTATGGCGTCATATCCTCCTAAATAAACCCCAAACACATGCAAAATGTAAAACATGTAATAGTGTATTCTCGGCACTATCCAAATCCGGGACGGGACACTTAAGTAGGCACATGAAAGCTTATGCACAACCAGCTAGTGATCCAACCCAGCCAAAAATTTCCCAGTACCATCCATACGGCTTTACCTACAACTATGAGAGGGATAGGGATGAACTAGGGAAAATGATAGTTCACGCTGAACAACCTTTTCTTTTCTCGGAAAGTGACCCATTTAACACATACATTAACAAAGCACTACAACCCCAACATAAAAGAATATCTAGGAAATTCGTTCGTTCCGCCGCCATGAAATACTTCCTAGAGTACAAATTGCGGTTACAAGCCGAATTGAGTAACCTTAACTGTAGAGTGTTTTTGACAGCCGATTCTTGGGATAGTGGTTATAAATATCACTATTTATGTGTGACTTGCCATTGGGTAGATGATCAATGGTTGTTACAAAAAAGAATAATACATTTCAAAATGCAGGAATACCCACACATCGGCATTAACATTGCTCACCATTTAATGCAAGCAATAGACGAATACAATCTTCGAGATAAAATGATGTCTATGACTTTTGACAATGCAACCTCTATGACATACACAACTAATCTTGTCAAACAAAACTTAACCGATGTAATATTAGACGGTGATGCTCTTCATACTAGATGTGTTTGCCATGTACTTAACTTATGTGTACAGGATGGAGTTCGGGCAATAGGCCCATACTACAACAAAATTAGAGATGCTATTATGTCTATTAATAGCTCAAACATGAGGTACCAAGAATGGAAGAGTTTTCTAAGACAACAAAAGATAAGGGCAATAAAAATCAATACCGATTGCCCAACTAGGTGGAATTCCACTTATGACATTTTAACCAAGGCAATTGAGTACAAGAATCCGTTAACAATATTTTACAACCAAAAATTTCCACAAACTGCTTTATATGATGGTGATTGGTATAACTGTGAAAGATATATGCAATTTTTACAGTTATTATATAACATGACGTATTGTTTTTCTTCTGTTTACAATCTTTGTGCTCAAAACTTTCTTTCTAATGCATGTTTACTCGCCCAACTTTTCGCTGATCATCGCAACCAAAGTGATTATGATCAGTATCTTCCAGCAATGGAAACAAAGTGGCGTAAATATTATAATGAATTTCCTTTGATTTATATTTTTGCTTCCATATTAGATCCTAGGCAAAAGTATGAAAACACATTTATGTTAGTTGACATTTACTTTCAATGCATGCTTCTTGACGATGATGTAGAAAACTATAAGACTAATGTGAAGGATCAGTTTTTTGCTTTATATAGAGTCTATGAAGCCAAATATGGCACCGTTCCTCGCTCAGGGCCTCCCCAACCATCCAAAAACGTAAGTAAGAAGGCCAAACATTTATTTTCACAAGCTACTAACTTGATTTCAAGGTTTTCAGGTGATTCATCAATCAGGAGAACGCAAAGCGACGTCTCGAAGTTGCAGATGTACCTGAGTTACGACTTCACTAAAGGCATGGATGGCGATGAGATAAACAGCCTCGACCTCCTTGCATGGTGGAAACAACAAAGCGGGAAGCATCCAACTTTGGCGGCAATGGCACGAGACATTCTTGGTATCCAAGTCTCCTCTGTTGCCTCCGAATGAGCTTTCAGCGCATCCGGAAGGGTTCTGGACGATAGAAGAACAAGTCTAAAACCCGAAACACTAGAAATGTGCGTGTGTTTCAAAGATTGGTTGGATGCGGAAAATCGCTCACAATACCGTTCTTACGAGGACAACGACAACGATGAAAGAACCTCCGCTTCCGACCGTTCGAGTTCGGCTAGTTCCCAATCTATCCAACTAGCCGATGAAGCCGAAGTCGAAGGCGACGACGAAGACGAAGACGAGCAACAAGAAGAATAGACAATTTTTGTATATTGTACGATTTTAATCATTATCGTTTATCAATATTAATATTATCCAATTTTCATTGTTATCATTGTACAATTTTCTCAACTCAAGTAATAATAATATGAAGTATGCATTATTCACATCCAAAGTCCAATTTGCCTTTTTTCCCCGTTTGTTATAATTTGTATATTAATATAACAAAAAGAAAATTATACCAATTAATAATACAAAAAAATATTTAATAAATCATAAACATTAAATTTTAAAGTAATAGTATAAACTAAATATATAAATATATATATTGAATATAAAAAATAATAAAACATAAATGTTCAACTTAATTTATTTTGTAACTTATAATTTTATAACTTATAACTTATAAGTTATAAGTTATAATTATAATTTTATAACTTATAAGTTATAAGTTATAATTATAATTTTATAACTTATAAGTTATAAATAAATTTATAACTTATAAAAGTTAAAATTATAGGTTATAAAATTATAACTTATAACTATTTATAACTTATTAACCGTTAACAAAAAAAAAAAAAAAAAAAAAAAAAATAAATTACGCAAGGCCAGCACGAAGGCCGGCACGGCACGAGCCCGCTAGGCACGAGGGTCGTGCCAAGCCGTGGGCTGGCCTTTGAAATTCGCCGGCACGGCACGGCACGAAAACCTGGGCACGCCTGCACGCCGGCGACCGTGGCCCGCCAGGCACGACCCGACACAACACGATGCCCAGGTTTACTCCCTACTTTGCTTTTCCCCTAAAATTGTATTGTCAATTCCCACTTCCTATGAGTGCCAAGCATATTCACAACATGCTTACGTAGGCGCACTTCGAATGACGCCTACGTATGGAAAAAATAATTTACATAAAAAATTCCTAGTAAAAAAAGCATCAATGGGACTTAAATTAATTTTGCTGAAATTATTTTTGCTGAATTGAAATTATTTTTGCTGAACTGAAATTATTTTTGCTGAACTGAAATTACTTTTACTGAACTTAAATTAATTTTACTGACTAAAACTGATTTTTACTGAACTTATTATTTTTACTTAATATTATTTTTTTAAGGTGAAGTGAACAAGGCCTAAGATGGACGAAATTAATATGGCATGATGATAAGTAATTTGCACAAGGCGAGTATTTTTAATTATAACATGACAACACAACATGAACCAGACATAAAAGAGGGTAAGTGTCAACGTTCCCGACAAACATAATTCGGGTGAACATTTCATGTTTCATTTCAGGGAATGGGTTTTTGTTAGAATTCTCCAACTCTTTTTTTTCGAACACAAACAAGAGCACAATACGACACGACATGTGTGTCGTAGTGGTTAATTTAGTTACTACTGTTACTATTTGCAAACTTATAAAGTTATATCAAGTAGTAATTATGGAATACTACTTAATTAGGTCACAAGTTGTAAACGATTTATGATAAAGGTGTCACGGGTTGCAAATGGTTCGGGTTAAACAATCACAAGATGAAATAGTTTAATCAAAACGGGTCGAGTCACTAATGGGTCAAAGGATTTGATTTAATTAAGTTCCTCGTCGGGTTTTCATGGATCGATTGGAAATTAGGCATTAATCATTCAGGCGTATGTGGTTGGATTTTGAGTTGAACAGGGTCACTTTTCAATTCTAAAAAGTTGGATTCGAAGTGGTTAAGTTTTCACTTTTTTTTTTTCTTTAGGCACTAATCATTCAGGCGTCTGTGGTTGGATTTTGAGTTGAACAAGGTCACTTTTCAATTCTAAAAAGTCGGGTTCGAAGTGGTTAAGTTCTCACTCTTTTTTTTTTAGGCACTAATCATTCAGGCATATGTGGTTGGATTTTGAGTTGAAAAGGTCACTTTTCAATTCTAAAAAGTGTGGGTTCGAAGTGGTTAAATTCTCGCCTTTTTTTTTTTTTTTTTTTTTTTTTTTAAAGAAGGTCAGGTTCTCATTTGATCGGGTAGGTTTGGGTTAAAAAATACACTCAAGCAATTGGTGTCTTCTACATTGTGCCCTTCTTCAACCCTTCAATAACATAACACCAACAATCCTGCAAATTAGGGTTTATCTTCACTGAAAATATTGGGCATTTCTACTAATTCTCTCTCATATTTTGTTGAATTCGGACGATGAAGAACGCTAATTTCAAAAAAAACGATTCCGGAGAAAGAGGTGGCTTCAATCTCAATAACAAAATGAACAACAACAACAACAGTAAGATTAAGATGAAGAAAAATATGCAGAGATTGGGAGGCACTGGTCTTTCTCTTGAAGCATTTGCCAATGCTAAATCCAGACAGAATTCATATAATCCTGCTTTGTTAAGTATGTTCCTCTTTCTCTACTCCTCTAAATTGCAGTCTTTAAGGGTATTGTTCTAATGCTTGATTTTTGGAAGAATTTATAGTATTTTGAACTTTGATGATTTCATGGTGCTAATTGTTTTTGGGTTTCGATGATATGATTGTTGACTGTTGATTGATATCTTGTATGATTCGAGGCCTAAAGCCGGTTTCGTGGGGTTGTAATTGGACTAATTTTGTATTGGTTGTATGACATATTGGATGTTGATTGACAATTCTAGTAAGTTATTTTGTTAGCTTTGGGTATCATGGTAGATTTCCAAGATAAAGCACAGTACAAGCTTTATACATTGTAAAGCATAACTAACTTACTCCTTGATAACATCATACTAAGCCATCAGCCACCAAATTAACAATCGGATATTGTTTTTGTAATTCATCCATTTTATTTGACTGTGTACATTTAACGCCTTTGGAGAGGCATTGGGTTGATGGTATGGGTGGTATGGCTTTGTTAGGTATCTACATGAGCTAGAGGAGATGAGTGAATTAATTAACAGAAGCCATATTTAGCTGCTGAAAAGTCTCAGCCTATTGTTGTTTTGAGATGAAATTGGTTGCTTTGAAGTCAAGTATGAGTCCACGTATTAACTCTTGTACCCTTAAGCTACTAGCTAGAAGCCTATAAGCATGGAGAGGCATAACTGTATGTCTTTCTAAGTAATTTACTCCATCAGTTGATTAAGGAGTTGGAACTTGCAGCATGCATTGTGGTTGTGCTGTTTAAGAGCCAAGCAATCTTTTCCGTGTTCAGTTTAGATTTTAATAGAACCTAAATTCCAATGTGAAGAATCTCTTTCCGCTTATTTCAATCACCATGTAAAAATCAGGATACAACTTACCTGCAGTGAGAACACGTCTCAGAGGCTGTCTTAATCCGAAGTTTCAGTTTGATTGTAGATATAAAAATCTTTACTCGTATGATATTAGAGGTAATCTCATCAAATATGTATCAACAAAGTTTACCTACTACCTCTAAGCCTGATCATAGAAGCTTTTCTTCTACTTTTTTAAGTTCAGCTGTGAAATTTTATGGGTAGTTTAATCAATTGAATTGATATTAGATGAAAAATTATTATGTCCTTGTTGTTTGTCTCAGCCTGGGACAAACAGTTTTAATGATTTTGTGGTCTTGTACTCCTCTTGCCAAGATCTTTTACTTATGTTCAATGAGATCTTTTGTGGCGGAATGATTGATGCATTACTGCAATTCATATCTTGTGGATAGCAAGCAGACTTGCAGAGTGTGGTTTAGTGACTGAGGAAGTTTGCTATTTCCAATGAGCTTGATGCCTCCACCCAGATCATATTGTAGAAAGCTGGTTTTCTATGAGTTATGGATGTGAAATATTGTGATGGTCTTGTAATGTATCTTCTTTTAGGGAATGAGAAAAATGGTGACAGTGGCATTTTTTGGGTGCTTGTTTGTTGCTGGGGAAGAAACAATTAATCTCTAGGCCAATGATTTTACACTTGTTTTGCTGCACACTAGTTGACTCAGACTTAGCTGTTCGTAAAAGTGCTGGACTCTAGACATTTTATGGAACTTTTGCATGGTCAAGTGTCCACACTCCAAATTTGAGTGTTTGAGTATCTAAGTCTAACACAAGTACCTGAGGTGGAATAAAGTGTGTGACATAGGATGTTTGGATTGAACTCCTTGATTTGGTATCTTTGACCCTTCACTGAGGTAAGAAGATTCTGCTTAAAATTTAAATTCAATATTGAACATTTAAGAAAAATATTGGGTACTGTAGTTTCCTATCTTCTGGATGACTGGACTGGAATGGACAAAGAGATGGCTAAGAATTGTATTTTGAATCGTCAAGTCTAAATGGAAGCTTATTGCTTTTGCAGTTCTTGACATACCTTGCTCTTCCAAAAATGTAATCCTGATGCTGATCTGAGTAGTTTGATCCTGTTTTTCAGTCGTATGCTGAGTTGAAAAGAGCCTTTTCTATAATTTTATTTATACGTATTGGTATTGCAAATATATGTTACAGAGGTAAATGTTGACTGGGTTTTGATTTGACTATATCAGTGATATACTAACGTATATACATCTTTGCATCATTTTAGAGAAGAAAAGGGAATTTTACACGAATGCCAAACATGTAAGCAAGTACAAGAAATTGCTGAAGCAACAAAATCAACCTAATGATAAATCCGTATCTGTTGAACCTGTTGAGGTATGTGCTCCTTTTTGCTATTTTAAACTTAAACCTTGGCCTGAGTGTAACATGCAATCCTGCTCACTTGCAGGCGAATGATGGTGGTGCTGGTGAGACAAGCAAGGAAGACAAGAAAAACAAAAAGGGATCATACAGTTTGCAAGAGTTGTATGTGAAGAAACATGAAGAACAGGAGAAAGCAAGGATGGAAAGGGAAGCCTTCTATAAAGCAAAAAAGGAAGAAAAGGAAAAGGCTGAATCCCGCAGGAAAGATTTACGGGAAAAGATGTTTAAACGAACACGGAAAGGTCAGCCTGTCATGAAATACAGAATTGAGCACATATTGGAGACCTTGCAGGGTTCTACTTCAACATCATAGTTTTCTGCTTTTTGAATGGAGCTTCTAACTGCAAAAAACCGAATGATGGATTAGCTCCTCTGTTCATTTGATGTATCTCTGTGTCTAGAGGGACATGATGATACAAGTCATTTTAGTTGATTCTGGGAGATGTGATGCTCTGTTGTAGTTAGATTATCAGTTCCTGACCTTGTAAAATTTTGCTCTATAATGCATAGCAAATTACACAAATTAGGACCAATCTTTATTTTTATTTTTTTTTAATTGTCCTTTCAATGAGTTTCAATATCCTTGAATAGTAATATTTTAATAGGATAAGAAAGAAAGACTTATTCGATGGTGTAATCCTTCAATTTCAGCATTCTTTGAAATGGCAGCTCCTTTATAGTAACTTAAAGAACCGGAATTGCTCAGTCACCGATATGTATGGCTGCTACAATAAGAGAATCCATCTAGTTTTCTCTGGTTTTGATGCTTATTTTCAGATGTAAGAAAAGCTAAGTTTGTCAAACCAAACAAGCATTTTGATAGAACATGAACTTAGAAGAAATTTAAAAATGTGCTTGCTGAAATACACACAACTTGTGACGATTGCCATTTCTTTGTCAAATTTTTAGGCATCGTGATCTGTGGCATAACCATGCATAATTTCAAGTACCCTACCTGTTTCTTAGGCTATCTTACGCCATAATGCAAAATGAAATGTTTTAACTTTGTGATTTTTTGCATTGAAGGTTTGTTTGTGACATTGATTCTGGTGGCTCAAACTTTTTGATACTTCGCCATCTTCATGGTTAGCATAAAATGTGTTGTATAGGATAAGACCTGACTAGATGACAAAACCTCCCGGGATGTGCAAAACAATCTGACCCTGGGTAGATAAGGTATGTTGTGCTCGTAATTTGGGTAGGTGTTGTAGTTGTGATGGCTGTGAAGTACCAAATTTAGTACTTCCTGAATAAATATATCATTGCCTCCTACTTAATCTACCCTTAACTAGACATTATATCAAAATTGGATTACCTTTAACTGGTCATCAATGGTAATTACTGAAATATCAGCATTCAATTTAAGACCTAAAACATGACCTGGGGTCGAACATAGTGGATAATAGTTCAATTGAAAAATAAATAAATAAAAAAAAATAATGAACTTATGATACTACGGTACATTGATCAGAGATTCATAGTACATTCTCTATCTTTATGCGACTGATGTATAGATTATATAATGGTTTGAACTACGTTTCTGTAAATTTTGATTGTGAATTCTATTGATTCATATCAAGTTTTTTTTTAGAAATTTCATTAATGTTAGCATTTCAGATTGAGCCACAAAATACTATAGATTATAGTGTGTGATAGCTTTCTAAATTTTATAATGAATCCTGGTGAGACAGTCTTTTATAAACAAGGTGAACACTTGCACAGAGCCACAAACAATGCGATGAATAATGGTTGCATCGGGAATATAAAGTGGTTCACTTTAGCTCTCATGTGGTTCACATTGTTACACCGAAAAAATACCAAGTTTTGAAATAAGATCACAATGCATTAAGAGCTACGAACATATGATCATGCTGTTCCTTTGTGGCTGCATCATGTATCAACATCAAAGTTATCGAATGCTGAAGTAGTAATACAATGTGATATGCTGCAAAATTAAGAACCATAAATTCTCTATCAGCTACTTCAAATGGCAGCACTGTGAACATTGACTACGCTGCTGCTTAAGATTGAGCACTTAAACAGCAGCATCTGCTCACATTAAGATTTAGATTGAGAATTGTTGGGCTGAGAATTTGTCTCTGATGAACTGATGATCTCTTCAAACGTTTCCATGTCAATGGTCATACCATCATCCACTTCAGCATCTACTTCGGACATTACTTCATCCCTGTCTCCTGTCATTGGTTCCCCACCATTTTCTACTGAGTTGGATTGTGGAGGAGACTGAGGCTGAGGTTCAGGTTGAGACTCGGTTTCAGGTTGAGGCTCAGGCAGAGGCAGGGGCTGGGGCTGGGGCTGGGCATCCTCAACCTGCTCTCTTGAGGCATCTGCTAGTTGCACAATTGGGGGAGGATATGAATCCGTGGATTTCGTTAGAGTACTAGTCACCAACAGGTTCTGTAAAACATAAAATTACCTCACAGATTAGTAGGAAAGTCTACAAAGTTACAGAAAATAATCGTAGACAGTAAGCACTATTCACAAATTATTTTTTTATGATGCTAGGTTGTACTGTGTCTATATCACAACAAACATTAAAAATGAGCGAGAGCACCACAGCTTCAAAAGGAAGCTCAAAAATCAAAACATCACTGGAAAGATTCACAGAGTAAAGACCAAGCTGACACAGAAATTTTGCCTAAAGTCATGATACTAAAGAATCGAGAGGATGCTTTCTCCAGGAAACACTCTAACCGCAGACACAATCAGTAGCTAAAAGGCTCCCAAACTAGCTAAGTTGATCTTGAATTTGTATCAAATATCACTCTCACACAGAGCAGAGCTGTAAGCTTGTTTCAGGTACCTAATTCTACAGACTTCAGTACCACAGTGGTTGGTTATTCTGCTTATTCATAAAGGATTCGGACAGAAGCAAGATTGCATGAACGGAAATGATTGTTGCCAACGAAGAGCATCCCAATGAGAAGTGACTGCTTAAAGCAAGCTAATTTTGCTTACTAGAGCAAAGATATATTTCTATGTACATGATTTATCAGTAATATTATATCGATACAATTAGGTTCTACATTCAGACCTAATGTAGAACCTAATTGTATCGATATAATTCTATGTACATGATTTATCAGTAATATTATATAGTGCTTCCTATTATTAATATATTTAGGCACTAATGATGACCAAACTATATTGGGACAGAAAGAATTTTCAAGCAGATAGGCAAGTAATTATGCAAAGTGGGAAGCGAATTATAATATACCTTTTCTAATGCCAGAGCAAGTTTTGACAAATTTGGATAGATAGTCTGCGCATCCAGTAATATCTGTTCAAGCACAAGGTCAACTTTCAATGCCCATAAAGTAAGCCGCACCAAGATTAGCAGAAGATGGTGTAAAAAAGACACAAAAGCAATTATACATCCAGGCGCAACACTTTTTTTTTTCAATAGACAATATAGGTTCCCCTGGACATCGAGGAACCAAACAGTAAATAATGTGACGTAGCACAGAACAAACATTGGAAAAATATACAAGTCTTCAGAAACTAAATCATACAAGATATTCCCAAAAAACTTTGACGGATATCATGGTAAAATTACATGTCTGCATCCTCTTTTGTTGTCTACCTATTAAAGCATAGAGGATATTCCCAAAGAACATTGAAGGATATCAAATGGTAAAATTACACGTCTGCATCCCTCTTTTGTTGTCTACCAATTAAATTTCTAGAGTTGGAAGCTCTTTTCTCTTCTCCACGACTCCACATAAAGAGCAAGGTTAAGTGTTACTAACCTCCAATATGGATTTGAAATATCTTTGAACAAGCCTAAGTAACATAAAGAGCATAATATATACCAATATATTTTCCTAAACAAGCCTAGGTGCTTTGTGGAACTCTCTTCAGGTGTTTTATTCCATGTTATCGCACACAATTAAAAGAATTAGAACATGCTTTGTTCTTTGTACAAGGTTTGATGTTGGGACCTCAAGTTTATACATTAAAATCCTATTCACTAAATCATGCAATATTTGACATTATCCTTATAAAAATATCAATCAATGAAAATGTATTGCCTGGGCCTAAAGGCTAGTGGTACAGCTAATTGAATTACGAATATAATTCAAAAAAACTACTGCACCTGATAAAGTTTATACTAAAATGTGTTCAATTCACCCTGTCAATACGAAGAAACAGTAGTGCCCAATAAAGAGTTCCCAGTTTTACAGTTCTCACATTTTAGCTCTTTCCAACATTAAAAGATGATATCAGGAATGGCAAATGGCATCACTAAATAGCACATATACATGTTTAGTAATGAGTCACAAAGTCAAATATTTAGACCCAAATTCTAAACAGCAAGAGAATTGGATAAATAACAATATATACTTAAATTATTTTACAGTTACATGTGGCCATGTGGGACAGTGAAGGGCCTTCATTATCTTCTGTTCTGTTTTACTAAACTTCAGCATCATCCTAAATTTGAAAAGCTTAAGTCTGACCCAGATTACAAATGCAGTTAAGTAACTAACAGGAATAAACTTCTAAGCATTATAAAATACAAAGTACTTGAGCCTTGATGCTTCAGATATGGCAACTCTTAACTATTAGTACAAAAGTAAAACAATTGGCAAGGATTTTCAATATATAATAATCAATTACCTCACAAAGTCTTTGCAATGTGAATGGTGGCCCATCTAGAAAGCTGAATAGAGCTGTATGTAAAGAGAAATGCTTCAGAATTGATAATCTTATAAATCCGCTTTAGTCTTTTTCCTTCAAATTGGTATTGGAGTCAACTATATTACTTTGGTTACATTCAAAGGAAAGTCCATCGACAACAGATAATTAAGAAAAAAAATATACAAGATACACAATTTCTTTGAAATAGTTAGCATACCGGTATTTTGAAATCATGCTATTGTTGATAATAATAATAATAACTCCTTTTTAAGTAGCTCAACATGCTCCTTAATCACATAACCATGCAAACATATTGCCCAGAAGTATTAAAGTAGTTTGATTCCAGATTCCACATATGTAATGTCTTAAAACCCCTAGTTCTCAATGCCTCCTAACAGTATTGTGAAGGATATATGATGGTACCAAAACTTAAAGGCCAAGATTTATGCATCAGCAACATAATATTTCCATTTTTTTAGCTACAAGATGTTAGTTTAACTGATGCCCTGCTCCACGATTAGAAATTATAACAGTAGTCTCTGTGCATAGATTTGATTGTTCGTATGAAGAATCAACAAAGCATGGGGACAGAACATGGACAAAGGACTAAGACTGAAATGCACGTCATTAATAGCATAGGAAAACTAGTGCAAGCAAGAGTACATAAGGTTACCAACAAATTGGAGGATAACAATAAAAACTATATCCATCAACCCTCTAACAGCTATGGGCTTTGATATGCACAGGTATAATAAATAATTAATTAAAAAAAAAAAAAAAACCAGGGATATATGTAATGGGTGGCATTAATCCACACTCCCACAAGTCCAGAAGAGAAATCACTACCTCTTCATTATGACATTATCAAACACATTGCCTTATCAAACTGAAAGAGAAATTTCTAATTTCCACAGTTTTTCCACAGAAAGAATAACACCAATGCCCAGCAGCCAGCTGGAATTTCCAACATTTATTGTGTATTATTTTTACAAGTATCATTTCAATTCAGGTCAATTCCAGAAACTTAAATATCATATTCTATAATTGTTTTTTCATTTTCATTACTTCTCCATTCCCAAACAAGGTGACATGTAAGGTTATGCATACAAATCAAGAGGTTGTAGTTATGGCATTGTAATTATTAACTGACAAGTAATTACATACGTATCTTGAACTAACAGATAATAGTGCATGAATGTCTCAGATAAATGATACTATGAAATAAAAACAAGTAAATTTTTACGGTGAATACAGAATAAATAAAGTATTGACTAATGACAATCATATGATTAATAATTATAATATACTCCAGAGTAGATTTCATTTCAGTTTCATTCAATAAATTTTAGCACAGTTAAATCTATTATAAAACAACACACCCTTGATTATGTATTGCCAAAGAATCACCATCATCCCAAATAATTTTATGCAGGAGCATGGTCAGCAAATGCAGAAATCATATATTTTGGACAAGCCAGAAGCTCCTCTATCAAGCCTGTAGGTTCTCATCATAATGCAATTGATTAATGGAACACACCAAATTCTTAGCCTATGCTGCATCCTTTAACTAGATGAATAGTAGAACAATATTGTCTTGCAAAAGCTTCAATGTTATTGAAAGAAAAATGTAGCCAAATATGCAAACACTTTTCTAGAATTTGGGGGACATTAGAAGATTAGTACAATTAGCACTAAGACTTCACAGCTCCAACAGGTAGTGGACTACTAGCAGGTAGCACTCCAAGATATCAGAGAAAATACCAAGATGCAAAATGTAACAGTGAGGAATTTAATAAAAATACCTTCCTCTAAGCTTTTCACCAATTGTGTATAACTCTCTCCCAAAGAAGAATTTTGTTGATCATCAGGAATTTTTGCTTCTGGATATTCCGAAAGAATCTTGATATTCAAATTTACATGGGACAAGAAGATGTCATAATCTCAACAGAAATTAATTTCAAATAATAATTCCAAGGGACAAAGACAGATTAAAACCAGCACTGATAAACAATAAAGACCTTACAACAAGCATACCTCACCATTACCTGCTTCAGCTGAAACAACAGCATGTTTTTCAACTCATCCCATTCATGCCTGAGTGACAACACAAAGTCAAGGAAAATATCCACCAAGAAAAAAGGCATAACATTAAACATGAATTTTACATTTTTCACATTCATTAATCCCATCAAGTTGGCATAACATCTAACACGAATTTTACATTTTTTACACTTACTTACTCCCACCAAGTTTCCAAAAATATTAGTTTATGGGAAATTGCAATCATTCAAATTCCTAAACGTATGACTATATGCGTGTACATGGATATGCACAAAGCGGCATCTGGGAGCTTTGGTTGGATTTTAATTACCACTAAAGCAAAACTAATGTTTTAAGGTACCTATGTTTTAACTTGGTCAAGTATTTATTTAAATTATTTAGTTAACTTTATTTTACATTATCACAGGATTTTAATTGAAAGTGTTTAATTATTTTAATTAAATTATAAAATAATTCGAATTTTAAAAAAGGGAACCGAATTTTTTTGTTTTTGTTTTTTTTTTTTTTTTATTTTGGTACGAATTTATTTTTTTAAAATTTTCGGTCCAAATTTTTTTAATTATTTTGGAGTTTTAGCTTGAATTATTTAAATGAAAAGGAATTTAGAAAATTAGTTGTGTAGGTATGCGAAGGAGATTGTGTAAAATTATTTGGGCATGTGGTGAGATTGTGTAGAACTATTTGGGCATTTAAATTATAATTATGTCGCCTATGTGCATTTATTTAATAATGTGTGCTGTTCAATCATGTTGTAGGATTGTTATGAATTGTATGAAAGCATGTAATTATGTGGTTTAATTATATGCAAGAAAAGATTGTTTGGTTGAACACCAAACTTAAATTTTATGTAAGAACTGTGTTGTTTATATTTATTTTATTTTTTTTTTCTTTTGGGAAGGGCTTTTCTATTTTCTAAGTTGGTTTGCTTACAAGATGCCGATAGAATTGCCTAGTAAGTACATAGATCGGAACTTTGATTAAGAAGATTTATGAGCATGCGATCCATTTTATTAGGAAGGTTTGATACCATTATTCGTATTTATGTGATGTTATGGGAGAGAAGTAATGGCACCTTCCTAAGTCTGCTTTAATAGTTCATTGTCTACCGGATGAACCGCCCTACATAGCTATAAAGAATAACTTTTCTGATTTTCATCCAGGGGGCACACCTAACTATGCTCGCTACAAGGATAACTATGGCCAATGAGGCCTTCATTGGAGATATCTAGTTAGCTACATTGTTCAAGCCCAACACTATTATTTATATCAACATAATCTTCCACTTCCTGACTACTATCATCAAAATCATCCACCTCCACAAAACTTTCAGCCTAAGAGCGTAGTGAAGAATCGGAATTAGAGCCTGAAGAAGAACCTATGGATGAAGGCAATGAGACAAGGCAATGAGACAGGGAATGGTTCTTGTGAAGAGAATCCTAATCGAAATCCCCCGATAGTAGTTAATGTGTCGTTCGACAAGGAGGAAGAGGATGTTGGATTATTTTGAAAATATATAACTATTAATTATTATTAAGTTAAGTGGTCCATTTATCTTGGAAATCAATTTCCCATGATCAAGGAAATTACTGCCCACTATCCCACAAACTTAGGAAACCACCATAACCAATTCGCAAAAATAGGATTTTTTGACGGCAAAACTCCCTATATATATATCATTTAACGTGAGTCTTTTTTCTGCTACAAGGGACAAGGGTCACTCCCTTGTAGCAGAAAAAAAGACTCATGTTGAACTAAAGAGTGCTACAAGGGCTACTATAAGATTTTGACTTTAGCACTTTGCTACAAGGGTCACACTTTAGCCCATAGGCAACTATAAGGTGTGGAAGGAAAGAGTGCTACTGCAATTAGGATGGATGGATATTGACTATGCTATTAGGAAAGACGAACCACCAGTCATAACGGTTACTAGTATACAAGATGCAATTAGTCTTTATGAAAAGTGGGAGAGGTCTAACCGTCTCTCCGTTATGTTCATAAAGACTAAAATATGTGCTAGTATACGTAGTTCTGTCGATAAGCATACTAATAATGTTAAAGAACTCATTAAGGCCATCGATGAACAGTTTGCAACTTTTGACAAAGCTCTTGCAAGCACCTTAATCATGCAATTTTCATCCATGAGGATCACGGAGACTAATAGAGTGCGTGATTACATCATGCGCATGAGTGATATGGCAGCTCAACTTAAGGATTTGGAAGTTACCATATCTGACTCTTTCCTAGTGCATTTTATTCTATATACTCTTCCTAACCAATACGACCCTTTTATAGTCTCTAGATGGTCAATTAATGAACTTATGTCCATGTGTGTTCAAGAGGAGGGAAGGTGAATCTCACAAATTCTGAAAAGAATAAAAAGGATCACACTAAGGAAAAAGAAAAGGGAAAGGGAAAGATTCCAATAAATAAATCCATTAAAAAGGATTCTTCGTGTTTCTTTTGTAAAAAGAAGGGACACATGAAGAAAGACTGCACCAAGTTTAAGGATTGGCTTAAGAAAAAAGGTAATTTTCTAGCGTTTGTCATGAATATAATATTGTTATGTTAATTGTAATACATGGTGGATTGACTCTGGTACCACAATCCATATTTCGTATACCTTACAGGGTAAGACAAACCTAAGGAAACCAATGGGCATTGAACATAACATCTATTCTGTGAACAAGATGAGTTCGCATGTGGAAGCAGTTGGGACATGCAGCATAACTCTAAGTAGTGGTTTTATTTTGCAATTAAAAAGGACATTTTATGTTCCAAATTTCTCTAGAAATTTAATTTCGATTTCAAGACTTGTACCTTTGGGATTTTCCTTTAATTTTTCAGATTCTAGTTTAAGTTTATCAAGAAATAAATTCTGAAGTTATTGGTTATGGTGGTTTCTTAAGTTTGTGGGATAGTGGGCAATAAGTTTACTTGATCATGGAAAACTGATTTCCAATATATATGGACCACTTATTTCCATAATAATTAATAATTATTTATTTTCAAAATAATCCAACATTGTCCCACTTGATCCATTTAAACTGAAAACTCAATATATTAATCATAGCGATAAATTCCCTAATAACGAGAACTAATCTTCCATGTATCACAATATATTCGATCTTCCACCACTCATACAACTTAATTAGTAAACCTCATGTTCACTCTAGATCAAACAAAAATGACATTTCTTATTGAAATAACCAAATATCCAAAAGCATGTACATAAATTCAAATAATGCAAGAAATATCAAAACTGAATGAGAAAGTTTCAATACAATAAACAAATGTTTCACATGATAGAACTAAGTCCCATCCTTTGTACATGACCCTTGAAACCATTAATAGGCATGCCTATGGTCAAGGGATCAGCAATCATCAATTTAGTGTCAAGGTGTTCTATGATCACTTTCTTTTCTTAAACACGTTCTTTTACGACTCGAAATTTTATGTCAATGTGTTTGCTTTTAATTCCACTCTTATTATTCTTAGCCATAAAAACTGCAGCTCAATTGTCACAATACGTTCTTATTAGGGGAATGATAGAGTCAACAACTCTTAACCCAGATATGAAACCTTTTAGCCAAACACCATGTGAGGTAGCCACATAACAAGATATGAACTCAACCTCCATAGTAAAAGTAGAAATTAAGGTCTACTTCGCACTCCTCCAAGAGACGGCACCATCAGCTAGCACATACCTAAGGTGGATTTTCGTGAGTCAATGCACCACCGTAATCGAAGTCAAAATAGCCCACAACTTAGGAAACCACCATAACCAACTCAGGAAAATAGGAGTTTTTGATGGCAAAACTCCCTATATATATATGTCATTCAATGTGAGTCTTTTTTCTACTACAAGGGTCACTGTATCTAACTCTCAAACACACATAAACACCATCTTAAGTGAGAGTGAGGGTTCAGCACTAAAAATTCAAAAGAATACAGTTGCGGTTCCGCAGTCGCAGATCAATTTTGGGTCTTCAACTTCCTCGTAGTTAACTTACAATGGCTGGAGGTAAATTCAGAAATTAACGCTTCCACAGTCATGACTTATATGTTTATGATTTAAAGCTATGAACATGTTTGTTTTGTTAGCCTGAACCTCAAACTCCTGAACCTATGGAGGAGGATGATGATGATGACGATCACGAATTTGATCCAAGGAGCTACAAGCAATCCACTGATAAGAAGGACAATGTCCAGATTGATTAATTAAAACCTTTATAATGTCTTGCAGGATTTTTGAAACGTTTCTTAGCTTTTTAAGTTCATAGTAATTATTTAGCAATTCTTTATTAGTTTGATGTAATAAGTAGCATGGCTACATTTAGTTCATAATCAAATAAAATCCCATTTTATTTGATCATAAAATCCGAAATTATTAACTATTAAAATCTGATTTATTAATAAGAATAATCTACGCCAACTCAATAGGTTTATGGAACTAAAGTAGCCATGCTACTTATTACATCAAACTAATAAAGAACCGCTAAATAATTAATCAATCAATCAAAGTCTTAATCCCATAAGTGGGGTTGGCTACATGAACCAAAAGTGATTATTCCGTGTAGACATCGACAAAAATCTTCCTCCTCCATCCCTTACAATCCAATGCCTCATCCTCATGCAAATCCATATACTTCATATTCTTCCTAACTCCTTCCAACCAAGTCATTTTCGGTCTCCCTCTCCCTTGTTAAATAAAAAATAAAAAATTGAACCAAAATAAAAATTAAAAAAAATCGGTTCCATCTTTAAAAATTTGAATTATTTTATAATTTAATTAAATTTTAAACAATTACAATTAAAATCCTGTTACAAAATAAAATAAACTAATTAATTTAAATAAATAATTGGCCAAGTTAAAACATAGGTACCTTAAAACACGAGTTTTGCTTTAGTGGTTATTAAAATCCAACCAAAGCTCCATATACCACTTTATGCATATCCATAAGTGTGATTAATTATATGCGCATGCATACATAAATCTGAGCATATCTGTGTACATCTTTATGTGTGTGGCGCCATGTACGTGCATGTGTGTTTTTGTGTCTATAAGATCAAATGAGAAGGCAGCTTGAAAGTGGCAAGGATGATATCATGAGAACCATAGTGCATGCGCCATGTAGGTACAAGGATTGGGAGATCAGTGCTGATTTCACCAAGCCCCATCCCATAGCTCATGTGTGGGTATGCAACAAGAAGCTTGAGATAGAACCATACCAAAACTTTCCAGTTGAAGCTATAATTTCCAATACCCCCTTCACTTCTTCAGCTGACAGCCTAGGATCAGATTCTCCATTTCTAGATACCAAAAAATAACATGAATCAGAAACTAAGAGAGGCTCTGAATACAAGACTAAAAACATGAAAATGCCAAGAGTTTAGCTGTCATATCTATATATTATATAAGGGAGTTCACAAAATCATATTTTTCCTTGGAAAAATTATTAAGCTTGCATTGGAAAAATTATCCACAAAAAACAGACCTTAATTGAAATATTGGGCATGGATCTTATTAGCATCAACTTTTTATGTTAAAGATGATTTCCAATGAAAACATCTAATGTAAGGATTAATGTCTTGAAAATTACTTTTTTACATATATTTCTTGAATGCTTATATTTTTCATACATATTAATTTTATAAACCTAAGCATGGCTCGAGATTCGGGAATTACCTATTATCTCACAAAAATTAATGATAGTTTTATTAAGAGCAGTGCAGCAGTCATCTAAAATGTACATGGCCATCTCGGAATTTGATTCCCAAAACTTAACCCCAGAACTCAGATGATCGAGAAAAAAGATAACATCCAATCAGAAACAAGACAAGCTGCTCTGAAAGATTCACTAAACTCCCTTTATCCTCATAATTTATAAGTAACAACTGCAATAATGTGTGCATTGCACCAGAATTATCCGCGATTAGTCTCACATCACAGCTAGTATATGAAACAAATTAGCTCAATATTATACTCTTGAGCACCAATTTTTAATTTTTGATTTCTTAATCCAAAGAACTAAAGTTTGTGAAGATTAAATATTTTGATTAGGCTCTTATATTAATCTAATTCAAAACTTTTGTGTACTGCCGGTTTACAATAATATTAGTGTACATCATACAATCATAGGGTAACTTTTATCCAATTTGAGTTAACATTTAACCTGCATTAGGGGTAACTTTAAATCTGATATGATTTTAATGTAAACAGGCTATGAAATAAGTTATATAAGGATAATTTAGTTATCTTCACATGCTAAGATAAGATTTTTTACTCCTTTAAAAAGAATAAATATATCAATAAAACATAAGTAACTTTTAATTATATCGGAGTAATTTTATAACCGACCTACAATAATTATTATATCTCCAATTTATTTAAAAGTTTGTGATCACACGTACCATCCAATTTAATTGTTGCTACTATGTTTACAAACAAATTGTTTTTGTTATAGTCCCTTCTCAATGCCCCTTTCCTTCTTTTTACTTTTCACGTAATAGGCTTTTTCAAAGTAGAAAATTGTAACCAGTACTCGTGGCATTACAGGTCAAGAGTTTGTCGTGCAACCCAACCTCAAAAGGTGAACACGAATCTTAAAGACACACAAATTCAACAACGCTCATCTAAGAAACTGGAATGCAATTGAAATCATCCAAACAACTCAGATGCAAGCACTCGATGAAAATTTTTAAACAACTTTAATGAAAAATAAAGCTGCTGATCTTACTATATATACTTTTCTACTAAAATTGCTCAGATACATGTGATTCTATTGAATGTATATCTCAGATAAAACATTGAGACATATGCACACACCAAGAGAGGAGCAACCCATAAAAAGCATAGCCTAAGTATATTGACAAGTGTAAATATGGAAAGTCAAAAGACCCAAAAGTCAAAACCAATAAGTTCTTTGGCAACATGGCAGTTCATGACAAAAAGGGTAAACAAGAAACGTTGTGGATTTTAATGAATCAAGAGTTCAAAACTGTGTGCACTGCAACAATATTCTTCAGTGTGAAAAAAAAAAAAAAAAAAAAAAAACTTTTATAACATATTGATCGACAGTAAAGTGAACAAAAGAAATTGCTGGCGGCTTCAAAAGAACAGTTGATTCAGAGCTCAAAACTCCTTTCACGCATATTTTATGCATCACATGTACCACTTAGCTAAGTGCGCCTAGTTGACATCAACAAACGCCCTAGTTATCTACCTCCTCCAAAAATGTCAAGCAAGGTATGCTAGAAATCAGCAAGAAAATATTTTGCATATTAACATCAACCTATATTTAGATAACAGCTTTATTTCATGTCTACCAACCAAATATTCCAGTGCTACAACATAAGATAGTTAATAACATCCAAAACGAACATTAGTCTAGTTCCAGATGATAGCTTATAATTTCATAAAGACCACAACTTCAGTCTAAACAAGGAAAAAAAAAAAGGCCATATTCAATTTTACTGCCCTCTCAAAATAGAGACAAGGAAGTTTTAGCCGATTTTGAAGTCCCAAATCAATTACTTGTATATTGCAATGATTCAAATTTGAATTAACCCAATATAACCACAGAGAGACACCACAAAGAATGGAGAGCTGGGGTATACCTAATATTTGTACTACTAGACATCAATCCAAAAGTTGATTATAGACTTTACTGACAATATTAAATCCGTACTTAATGAGCTCTATGCATAAAGTTTAAGCATCTTTGGTTTATGGTTTTTTTCCCCTCTTAGGTGTACAAAGGTAGCAACATGTTCATAAAAGTAAAAAACAACCCAGTAGCTGATCTTAGCTTAGCTCAACAACAATAAATCAGACAGTTCAACTCTATTAGCTCACAAGTCATAACCTAGATACAATACATTCTTGATTTCACTAACCGTTCTCTTACTAAGGAATGCCCTTTATACTACAGAGTATCTTTTTTTCTAAAGGGAATACAATTAACACTAAAAAACAATTAAGCAATACATTCCCTTTAGCTACCTCAAGTATAGAAGAACTTCATTGTACAAGAACTCCAACCACAACTAAGCAAGTTTATTGTATATACACAAAATTAAGTAATTTCGAGTTCAAATAGACCCAAAAAAATAAAAAATTGCACATTATTTCCTCGCAATGATTATTCAATTTCTCGAATATTAACCAAATCAAGCATAATAGTTATCATTTAAATATTATTCAGAAAAAAGGAGCAAAACTGCAAAAATAAAAAGTACCCATTAGCATCTGAGAGTTGAGGACTGGCCTCTCCCTGAGCCAAAGCGGGAGGGGTGGCCGCCTCGGGCACGGGGAGAAAAGGTCCGTTTTCATAGTTTTCTCCTGACATTCAGCCTGCCACACATTAACAACCAAATTTGTCTCAATTATCAAAGCAGGCTCGAAAAATCACGTTAAATTCTTCTCATTTAAGAATATGAATAGCAAAATTCTAGCAACGAAATCGCTCGTTATAATCTTTGATAACGTCAGTATCGTATAAACAATAGTTCAATAATTCACCTTAGAAGAACCCTAAATTGACTGTTACTGGAATTAACACTATATTGTGAAATTGATATTTGATGAATGAATAAAATACCTCAGATGCTGCTTCAATGGAAGAGATAAAGCTCAAAAGCCGCTTCAATGGAGGATTCGGAGTACGCTTCGATGGAGGAGAGAGCTGGGGAAGGGTGGAGCGGGGCAGTGTAATACTGTAATGTCGAGTAAATCAAAGTTTACTCCGTAATATTAAGTGGCAAACAAATACTCGTAATCAATATAATTCAGACTTCCGTTAATTTTATAGAGACGGAAAGAATAATTAAATCTACTTATTAGAGACGGAAAGAATAATTAAATCTACTTATTTGGATTGGGAAACGGTTAGTATACTTCAGTATAATATACTTCGTATAAATTAAATAAACGAAATTAAATTTAAGTGAACAAACCTTTCATGTCGTGGACCGCCGATATAGCTTGGAGTGCAGTATTGATGTGTAGGAGGAATTTTGAAAGATTTAGAAAGATGGAAGATTTAAGAGAATAAGAATATTAGAGAGAATATATATATATATAAGCAGAAAAAAAAAAGTGTATGTAACCTTGAAAGGCTATGGTAATTATAGAATTGAAGCCGGAAAATAGGATAAGATTTACGAAAAAGCTGGTGCGATAAAAAAAAGAATTGTCGCGACGCGGCAAACCTGCACCGCGGCAAATCTTTCAAAGAGGGTAATACATGATTAGATTGATTGTATTTCAATATACTACGTATAATTCTAATGAATACTTCCTCCGTTCTTTTTTACTTGATCCGTTTTGACTTTTACACTATACACCACCCCTCCTTTGACCGTCTTTTGTGAATAATATATAAGGAAAAACATATTCACGTGGGATCTTTTTGAATTCGTCTCAATAAGTACTACATAATATATAACTTTTACAATTTTTACTTATGGAAAATTAAAGTTATTGATCGTTAAAGTTTTGCATTGACAAGCGTGATAAAAGAAACAGGTCAAGTAAAAAAGAACAGAGGAAGTACATGTTATAAAGGGTAACACGAGTAACTTTTAAATGTTTAAAAATGATACCTTTTATTTTTTTATGTTAATGACTTTAATCCATCTTACAATAAGTTAATAAGAGTTTATTCAAGAATTTGTGATTGATTCTTTATTAAAAAGAAAAGAAAAAATTAAAAAAAAAAGAAAAAAAAAGAAAAAAAAAAAGGAATTTGTGATTGATATTGCTACTCAAAACTAGGGTTATTGGAGGAGAGCTATCCCCAAATAATCTCTTTTCATAGCGCCACATCGACAAAAACTTAAAAGATAACTAATAGATCCAAATTAAAAGTTAAAGTTTCCCTCCCGGTTCGTGATCCTGAGATTAATTCTCATCACTCGACCTTTTTTTTTCACATCCCTTCTCTTCTTTATGGCTCTCTAAACACCTAAATAAACACATTAGCAAACCCCAAATTAAAACTAAGTATTGAAAGTAGATGCATATCATTTATAATTCTCATTTATGATAGATATTATAGTAAGATAATATTTGTCATGGATTTAGGATATATTTTGAATATTTTGTATCCTTATCGTTCTAGGTTTCCTAACGTGATCAATGGTACACATGCCAATTTGAGGAGTTTCTTGAAAAATCTAACATTGTATCAAGAGTCAGCGTGACGCCAAGGTCACGGATGTATCACGATGCCGGACTTTGATAAGAAAAAAATTAAAGATTAAAAAATAAAAATCAAAATATTTGCGGAAGCTAGATTAAAACTTAAGCTGTGACAGCATTGACCTATATATATAGAGTTTACAAGAATAGTCCTAATCACGCTAGGAAACCCAGTACGATAAGGATACAAAATATGCAAAATATATCATAAATCTACGACAAATATTATCTTACTATAATACTCCCCCCTTAATTCTCATAACCCTATTTGGGTTTTTTCACGGGAATTAAGGAGATTTTAGAGTCCTTAAAACTAAGGATTGGGAGTACATATATGTGCATGTGGGGTTAAAGAGAGATAGTGAGAAAGAAAAGTAGTTGAGAATTGATGAAGAAAGGGAGAGAAAGTATTGGGAAATGATGTCAAAAGAATGATTAGTACAAAAAAAGACAAAGAAAGAAAATGACAACCCATAAAAAAAGGGTAATATTGTCAAAAAACTACATCCTTTAAATAGAAATAGACTTTTAATTTTAGCTTGCCCAAAAATAAATACAAGCTTTGTAATATGAGACGGATGGAGTATCTATCACTTTATTCCAAAAATATTATACTATGTTGACCTTTACAATATTTACATGATTTTCTCTAATTATCTTTTGTGATTTATATGTAATGAATAATATATTCATGTAGGATCTTATTAGAATCGCCTTGATTTATACTTTTAAAATGTCAATATTTAATACTTTTTATTTATTAAGAGCTACACATATTAATTATCAAAGTTTAATTAGTATTAGGTTCTCTTAGAGTACATGTTGATGGTATTTCAACCTATTATAAAAAATTAATGTAAAATAACATAGGTTTAAAACAAAATGACATGAATAAGTGGGACTTATAAGTACATGCAAGTTGTAAATGCAGAGCACTTATGGCACACTAAACATAGCATATCTACACAACACACGACCTAAAACGATGTAGCCTCATTCTCCCACAAATATCTACTTCATTTGACTCATTTTAGGAGGTCAAAAAATTTACAAATGTCAGCGAAACACTGCTACAATATTAACTCAACTTCTTAGCAACCACTAGGCACAAAAAAGACACTTAGCTTAATCACCAAATAATCTCACAAACAAATCAAGCAAAAACTAAATTCTAAGCATCAGATTTGCATCATAGGAGTAAGGGTGAAAGTAATTGGGATTAAAACCAAACCGAATTAGTAATTCGGTTTGGGTTTTTTTTTTTTTTTAAATTCGAATTGGATCGGTTTAGAAAAATAAAAAATATGGATTACGGTTTGGGGTTTTAAGAAACCGAAAACCGAATTATATTACAGACCGAAATTTCAATCTATTACATTAAAGCCATTTTCTTTTACAAAGTATCCCAACCCCTTTCCCCTTTCTTTTTTTAATGAAAAACAAATAAAAAAAACCCTAATTCTCAATTCTCCTTCTCAATATTTCACAAAGAATGTATTTAACAAGAAAAGGTTGAATGATTGCAAGATTTTTTTGCGTGAAGTTCGGGTTTTAGATTTGAATGTTGCGAAAGAAGGGAACAAATTTCAGTTTGGATTGGATTCTATTAGCAAAACCGAATTAATTCGGTTTGGTTTGGATTGGACCGAATCTTAATTCGGCTTGGATTTGGTTTGAGAAATCCAAAACCAAATTAATTCGGATTGAATTTGATTTTGGCTATAATTCAAACCGCAAATCGAACTTTCACCCCTACATAGGAGCTCGTTCCAAGAGCCACTCAAGGCTTGAGCAAAGCTAGTAATACCCAAGGGTTTCTCCTATTTCCATTTCTAAATCTTTTATCTTATGGTTTTTTATGATTTACAAAACTTGATTTTTACAAGTTTTAACACCTATGATGTTCATACAAGGCCACAAGGACAACCCCTTATGGCATGAACTAGGGATTTTCTTACGAAAGTGTTCTCCACGGGGTTCCATGCTTCAGTTCCCCCATGGAAAAGTTTTGAGATTTCCTATCATTACTGTGTGTTCAAAAATTTATGTTTATGGCTCAAGTATTCACTCTCGATCCCTTCCTCTGCTAGCCTAGTTTTGTGCACTAAAGCCCTCGCCTTTGAGGCCCCCTAATTGTCCACACAAAGCTTACATCTTGGTTTTTTAAAATCATTTTACAAAACATTATTTATTATCCAATGACACTCTCAACAAATGTAAAGCCAACCCTTTGTAATCATGGAAGCCATCTCTATATATGTGTCATATTTGATCATGTGCATAAATTGATTTACAAATTAAGATCTTATTTCTAGTTTTATACTCCTTCCTTCCCTTTATTTTTGCCCCATTGCCATTTTTAGAGTCACCTTTAAGAAAACTTTGACCATACATTGCCGTTAATTTATAAGAGATTATATAATCATGTGGGATCTTGTTAGGTTCGTCTCATTATATATTTATTAATATCACATTTTTATAATTTTTACGTGTATGAAAATAAAGATATAGACGTTCAAAGACGCGTCTTAAAGATTGTGCAAAGTCAAATGGGGCAAAAAAAAAAGTAGGGACATAGGGAGTATATGTCAATGTCCACGAGGCTTAAGGATGAACATCTTCTCCCTCAAAGCTAAATCTATTAAGTCATCATTAGAGTAATGAGGCATCAGGCTTATATGCCCTACTTTGATGGTCAAATACTCCATTTTTCACCTTATTGCAATCTCTCAATCTAAATATACTTTTGATTATGCTTTAATATTGTTCTATATTCTTGCCATATTTATTATGCCTTGTCATTATTCAATGCTAACTATTTAATATTCAATTTGTGCACCTTCTATTGCCTATGTCATTACTCGTTCAAGAGTTGTAATTTGATTCAAAAATCTTGTAATAATAAGTGGGAATCTTTTCTTCCTAAACAATCTCAATGTGCTCAAACCATCCAAAGAAGCATGCAATATTGACTAAAGTGATCACCACCCTTTATATATGTTAATTCAAAGACCACTATTAAATGCATGTTTTAAATTAAACCAATCCTTGCTTATCGAAACGCTTTGTAAAGTTCAATAAACCGATTATACTAAAAATCGACCATTCCAATCTCAAATTATTGGTTTCAAATGCTCATAGTTAAAATGGACTCATATAATGAAATTTCTGTTGTCTTGTCAAAATTCAATGGCGGCTCTAAACCGCACAACTCATCAGAATATAAAATTCACATAGACAAATTTGATCTCAAAAACAAAAGAAAAGCCCACATGTAACATCCCTAGTCCCTACCCTATAACAACACATTTTGAGAAACTCCTAAAATCATACAACAAAGCTAGTAAAACCCATTTTCAAATCGTCTCATTTAACGCAACCCAATTATAACTCTACCCATATTGAAATAGTACAAAAAATAACCGAACCAAATCGACTCAACCCAATTATGGGCTTTTATTAACATACAAACGCAGTATGCTAAATTGGGCCGAGAACACTTATACGATTCCTTCACTTTCCCCTATAATAATACAATCTTCCACCTTCCAAACCCTAAATCTACCCATTTTCAATTTTGAAATCGATCATTTTTTTTTTCTTCTGGATTTTGAGCTTCTGAAATGCATTTTGATTTTCAAATTTAGAAAATTGTTGAAAAATTAAATACAGCCGATGATGAAAACAGTAAGCACGAGTGGCAACAATAAATTATTGCGCTCCCAATTTGATATTTGGGGTTGTTGTTGCTATGACGAATGTGCCAATATGCTAATCTGATGGCTTCTCTCTCTCTTTTTTTTTTTTTTTTTTTTTTTTTTTTTTTTTTTTTTTTATTTGCCGATTTTTCTTTCCTATCTTTTTTTTTTCAAATTTTCTATTACTTTGATTTTTTTTGTAGTTTATCAAATTTTCCCAATATTTTGAGCTTGAATTTGTGGTGTTTTTTTTTTTTTTTTTTTTGGTTTTTTCCCCCGGAAGTTTTAGCATAAATTTCAATGGAAGTTCAGCGATTTTTCTGGGATTGGCAGACATTTGAACAAAGGATTGATAAATTATACTACACGAATTAAAAAAAAGTCTATTCGTTAAAAATATGGCATAATTTTATGAAAAAATAATCAATATCTGAAGCATTCAACATTTTATCGGGCAACTTGTCTATGAAAACGTGTGTTAATCTAAAGTATACTCCATATCATTTGAATTCTTGCAGGACTATGACAAATTGACAATGTTTATCGTATTATAATATGAGTACGTTTATTTTAAAATTTAGGAATTAAAATAAACAAAACAACTAAAAAAAACTCGACTGCGTACGGAAAAGTAGGTACGCCATAGTACTTGACCTTATTTAAGTCGTGCTAATTTCTCCCTAATTACGTGGCCCGTATCGTTGCCAAATATGTTCGACTAAATCACGTTTCAGAGATAAATGAATTTCTCTATCACGGAGGGAAGCTTTTCGCTGTAGAAATGCGTCGAAGTCAAAGTTGGTAGGTCGGCCTACATTGAATTCAAACGGTGGCGTTGTAGACGTTGATGCTGGTGACATGTTACTTCTTGTTGATCTTCTTCGTAGAAGGCTCTTAGAACTTCAGCTCGAGTGTAGTTGTGGCACTCATCTTCAACAATCATGTTGTGCATAATGATACATGCTTTCATTATGTCCCGTAGTATGTCCTCATCGTACGCCAGTGACGGTTTTCGTATTATTGCAAATCGAGCTTGCAAAACACCGAATGCTCTTTCAACGTCCTTTCGAATAGCAGCCTAGTGGTCAGCGAACATTTTATCTTTCTGAAGTTAAGGGGTTGTGATACCCTGAACAAAAGTTGCCCACTTCGGATAAATGTCGTCGGCTAAGTAATATGCCATGTTGTATTCATGGCCGTTAACTGTAAAATTTACCGGAGGAGCTCGACCATGCAGAACCTCATCGTACACTGGTGAACGGTATAAGACATTAAGGTCATTACAAGATCCAGGAATACCAAAGAAGGAATGCCATATCCATAAATCCTAATCTGCAACGGCTTCCAGTATTAGCATTGCTTTCTTGTTCCTACCGGCGTACTGCGCTTTCCAAGCCGTTGGACAGTTCTTCCATTCCCAATGCATGCAATCAATGCTGCCTATCATGCTTGGAAAACCACGCTGTTCATTTTGATGCAGTATTCGGGCCAATTCATCAGGTGTAGGGTTTCGCATGTACTCGGTTCCGAACTGATCAATGACCCCGACACAAAAACGTTGAAGGGCAACTCGAGCGGTTGACTGACTGATTCAAACGTATTCATCCACGGCGTCCGTAGCCATGTCGTAGCCTAACATTCTTATCGCCGCTGTACATTTTTGCAGAGGTGATAAACCTAACCTTCCAGCTGCATCCCTACGCTGCTGGAAGTAAACATCACCTTCAACGACCTTGCTCATTATACGTACAAACAAAGGTCGTTGCATATGAAATCTTCTTCTAAATTGGGTGGTGTTGTACATAGGATTATCGTAAAAGTAATCATTAAACAGCCTGGCATGTCCAATTTCCCTATCTCTTCTATTCGTACCCCCTCTAGGTGTTTTTGAAGTGTGTTGGGATTGTGTTTGGGGCATGAGGACAGATGGGGGTTGGTATGTGAAGAGTTCATCAACAAGTTGATCATATTCTTCAGTATTTGAAGAAGATGAACTTGAACTTGAGCTTGATGATGGTCTAGAATACATCATGTATTAATATTGTTACTTGATGAATTGGTGTGGTTGTGGATATGTACCATGCCTACTATATACAACAAATATATCAAATGAATACGTGGTTACAAATCTGAATGACCACACAAAGTAAAGGAATCAAATTTTCAGCCACGGAATAGGTATACTATGTTAGTTGACAGTGACACAAAGTTAAAGCATTCTGATAAAGTGAAAACAGAAAAAGTGACTACACAATGACAAAGATTTAAAGCAATTATGTCGGTATCAATGACACAAAGTTAAATCATTCTAATAAAGTGAATTCAGAAAGAAGTGACTATACAATGACAAAGATTTAAAGCAATTATGTCGGTATCAATGACAACTGAAATCAACTTGTTAAACAACTTGTCATTCAATATTGGAAAATCAGAATACAAGTGTACATCTTACATTGAAATTAACCACACCACTAATACAACTTAAAAATAAAATACTACATTGCGCATAATGTTAAACTTAACTAATACAAGCATAGAACTAAAACAACCAAACAAGCTTAAAAGCCTTGTAATTTACCCAGTAAAAAATCCTTGTACGCCTCTTCTTGAGGAGTCAGTGGCATAGGCGAATTCTTCAGAGTTTGCAGCATATCAAACATGGTTCTCATCTTGTGAATGTCAAGTTCCTCCCTTTTCCTCTGTTCCTTGTACTTTTCAATTTTTATCCCCTCTTCCTTCAGAATGGCCTCCCTCTCGCGAATTGTAGCGAATTCCTTCATTCGTTCGCTAAGCTCAGACGAACCACTTTCTGTTGCTACTGCTTTCCCTTTACGCTTCGCCTTTGCTTTCTTTACACCCTCTGGTCGTTGTAAACCTCCAGATGAAAAACCATCCGTAGGGGTTTCATCCCCTACATCATCTCTGGACCTCTTCCCACTTCCAGCACTACCTTCCTCCTCAACATCACAAGCGTCTTTTCTTTCCTTCTTTGACATGGACCATCTCACCTTTGGCCTCCACTTTGGATCTTTGTTAAGAATTTCAATTGCGTGATGATAAGTGAAATTGCAACCTTGGGAGAGATGAAAAAATTTCAAAGCACTTTTTAAACGGTCAGCTTCGTTGTAACCACTCCCTCCCTCCGACAGTCTACCCGCTTCATCATAGCAAGAAATCCACTGTAGTGCGTCTGCTGCCAACCTTCTCCAGTGGGACGTCAGACTCTTCATAGGTCTTGGTGGAATTAGATGCGGCTTCTTCGAGTGAGCAATTTGATATGCTGCGTGTACATTGCGCCATAGGGAAGTTGCTTTATGGCTCGTACCTTTAATAGCTTCCTCGCTGAGCTGCAAGTACAACCCAATCAGAGTTTCATCTTCCGCAATAGACCAAATACGAGTTGCTCATGTAGGAACCTGGTTGGGTTCCAATCTGTGAACTGGTGGAGGATACTGCGGCGTCTCTGGTACACTTTCCTCTTCGCTCTCATCGAAGAGTGTGTTACTATCAAGATCAGTTTCAGGTGTACGATCTTCATTAGCAGGGTTTTGTAGGGGAAACTCAGTGGGTGTCTGATGCAGTGGAGGTGGTTGCGAAGACGTATTGCCCACTCTTTGCAAGAACAATTGAAACTCGGGATTAGTTAGGAAATCATCACTAAAACCCGAAAATTGTTGTTGGAAATTTGGGTTGTTTGGAACCATTAAAAGATTCTACATCAAAAAACAAAAGATAAATATTTTTACAAACATTAATTTAAAAAACAAATTAAAATGACAACAAATCCAAAAAAATATCAACAACTTTCTTCAATTACATAATGCAATTACATTACATGGCCTACATTTTTTTTTTCAAAAAATCACATATATACTAATTTTAATACATAACTACATTTATATATTAAAAAAAAATAATTAACCAATAATTGCAACACTTTATTACCTATAAATTTAGTAATGTATAAAGAAAATAACAACAACTTTCTTCAATTACATAATGAAATTAAATTACATGGCCATCAATATTTTTTTTTTGAAAAAATCACGTATATACCAATTTTAATACATAACTACATTTATATATTTAAAATAAATTTAACCAATATTTGCAACACTTTATTAACTACAAATTTCGTAATGTATAAAGAAAATATCAACAACTTTCTTCAATTACATAATGCAATTCCATTACATGGCCTACAATATATTTTTTTTTTATATAAAATCACATATATACTAATTTCAATGCATAACTACATTTATATATTAAAAAAAAAATGCCCAATATTTGCAACACTTTATTAAATACAAATTTAGTAATATATAAAGAAAATATCAACAACTTTCTTCAATTACATAATGCAATTATATATTTTTTTTCAAAAAATCACATATATACTAATTTTAATACATAACTAAATTTATATATTAAAAAAAAATTACCTAAATATGTGTAAATTGCAACAAAGACCTTCTTCTACAATTTTAAAATACTTAAGAAAATAAAAATGTGGAGGATTTAAAGTGTTTACGAAATCATATCAAAATATATCAAAATGCATGTCTATTTATAGAGAATTTAATTTTATGACCGTTGGTAATTTTTTTTTTTTTATTAAATAATTTTTTCAGAAAATCAATTACAAAAATTGTAACCGTTGTAAACGGCTACAATTTTCTCATTGGACAATACACTGCGCATGCCACGTGGCTTCTTCCCCTTGGCCAGCTCGCTGACGCGCTCAGTCAAAGCAGAATTTTTTTTTTAAATTCAGCAACGTCAAAACAACGCGTTTTAACGAGCGCCTTTCAGGCTGCTTCATCAAAACGCGTCGTTTTGATATGGGGCCAGCCAATTTTTTTTATTTTCTTCTGCCTAGTGTGGGGCCCACACGTTTTACTGTTCATCAAAGAAAATGCCCATAGTTTGAGCGTTTTTCATTTTGCCCATGGGATTTTTTTTGGTTTTTGACATTTGCTCACTATTGTGGTTGATGATCATATTTTTTGCTCATCAAATATGCCCATGAGCAAAAAAAATGCTCACCATTGGTAGTGCTCTTAGTACATTTATGTTGAATGGTCTTTTTAAGATATTAGTTAGGAGCCGTATGGTTGGGGTTAATAATCAAAAGGAAAGGGAATGAACATGCCTGATTCCCTTTGTTGCTGTTTGTTTGTCAATTTTTTCATTTCTTTTGCCTATTTTTCATTTTTGAGTTTACCCAAACATTCTATATTGATTCCCCACCCCCCCGGGCCTTTTCCATTCCCTTTCTAATCCGGATATTGAGAACTTCAAGAGTTTGTTAATTCTTTACAAGGAAAATCTAAACTTGAACATTAACTCATTAGAAGCTACAAATTGGCAATTCTTGGACGATTCAAGCAAAGGAACTTGGTGTCTAGTACAAGCTCAAGTTCCGGATCACTCTACTTACTCTACTTAGTGGTTTTTAATTATTTTTGCTTGCAAGTTTTTACCTTTCACTTGAAGGTGTTTTTCTTGGTTTAAGCACGTAGGATTAATTTTATTTGTTTTAGGAATTATAGACTAAGTAGAATTAGTTTCCTAATCTAAGTAGAATTGGAATTAGTTTCCTAATCTAAGTAGAATTAGTTTTCTTATTCTATTTGGGTTACTTGGGGCTAAAGGCTAGGGACTTGTCGTAGTCCTATTAGACTTAGAATTAGTTAGTTTTTAGTCTATAAATAGTAGTAATTTCATGACTTTTAGATAGAGAATTTTTCAAATTAATGAATTAAATTATTTGTTTGTTTTGCAATCAAAACATTCGTTTCTTGAAGCTGGTGATTAAGTTCTTTAAGCTTTGTTTAAGTTGATTAATTAAGGGGTGGTGTGACCTTTAACTTAATTAATCTACTTGTCTTCTTGTTTAATTCTTGGTGGACGAATCCTATAAAGAATTAAGCTTGAATTATCCTTGTGTGTGTTTAAGTTTCTTGAACATACGCATCACTTTCCTAAGCCACCACTACACCACCATATCCACACCGGCCACTACCTTACCCAGTTACCCCCACCGTCCAGCCACCTTGTCGGAACTCGCCGCACCTCCTTTACCCCTCGCCGGAACCCGTCATACCTCCCTTACCCCTCGTCGGAACCCGTCGCACCTCCCCTTCTTCTAGCCAAAACCTGTCGCAGTAAGCTAGTAACCTCAAAGATGTTCCCGAAAATGGTGTATTGAATAAACTTTTCGCCATGGCTAAGTGTTGCCAGAATACTAACCTGCTGCTGCTATTGCGGTGATTGCTGATGTTGCAGCGGTTGCTGTAGTTTCGAGGGTAGGGGAGTACGACCGACAATTTTAAAGGGGAGGATGGTTTTCTAGGGTTTTGCATGGGCGGGGGCAGGTTTTTCGTGGAGGGGAGATATTTTCGGGGGAAGGGGAGGGGCGGCTAATGGTGGGGGAGGTACGACGACAGGCGACGAGCTCCGGTGAGGTGGTCGCTAGACAGTGGAGTGGCTGGAGAAGTGGGAAACAGGGGTTGTGCAGTGGTGGTTGTGATTCCCATTGTTTTTTTTTAAAACAAACGCCATATTACATGGAAAGGGTTTCCTTCCATTCTCTTTGTTCATTCCATTTCGTTTACCTCGTGCTAACCAAACGACCCCTTATTGTATTATGAGGGTACAATTTGTTTATGTTGAATTGTCTGTTAGTGATTGTATTATGAGTGTTCAATATGTTTATGTTGAGTTGTCTTTTTGAACTACGAGATACAAAGTATTACCTAATGAGCATACTTTCATCAATCTTAACCCCATTAATTACTATGAGTATGTTAATGTTGTCGATTTTGAACTGCGAGATATAACCCAATGATCATACTTTCACTAGTCTTAACCCACTAACCCCCTTGATTAAACTTAATTTACGGACACAAAGGGAGATATAACCCAAAGGGCATACTTTCATTAGTCTGAACCCCCTTGATTAAACTTAATTTACAGACACAAAGGTGAAAAGCTTATTGAAGGTGTCAAATAGCTGCCTTACTAAGCAAAATAATTGCTTTAATCCCTGGCAAAACTTGGAACGTGAACTAGTCCATTTGATCAGCCTAATGGTAATTTTGCCGAGGAAAATCAAGTTGATGCAGTTTTCTTAGAGTACTAAAATACTTGGTTCTAAGATCTAATCATGTTAGCTCTATGTTGACTGCAAGAGAGTTTAAAAAAAAAAAAAAAAAAAAAAAAAAACCTCGGTGATACGATAGATCACATATGACAAGAAATTTGAGAAACTCCTGAAACAGAAACCATACAACAAACCTGGCTAATCTAACATAACAGCAAGACAATTAATGTTGACAAAGGCGACAAATCCTCCGGCAGGTGAGTTTCAAGCACACCTTCTCACCCCAAACAGAGAACGCAACAAAGAAAGAAAAGCGCACAGCCAACAAACAGTCAAGTAAGCTAAAGCCTGTCTTTTAATACAGACTTCAATTATATGTACACGATGCGAAAATTAGAGTTGACAGTGAATGAACTAACTAATCACACAGTAGTGAAGTCGCAGCCCAACAAATTAGAATCTCCCTCACCAACATCCACATGCCTATAAGTGCAACAGCTTCACCCTTTCACACACGTTAAATTACCTGAGATATTGCAAGCAGGAAGAAAAATATAAGTTGCTTTGTAGAGCCATTAAGCCAATGAATTGTAAGTAAACCAAGAAAGTCTTGCTTTGTTGAGCAAAGTCTTGTCACAAAATCCAGCAAGTAAACCATGAAAGCCAAACTTTGCTTGGGCTTAAAATATAAACCTTATCTCTTCCTCAGGGAACCCGGAATTAATAGTATTTTTTGGACTAATTACCAGCCAAAATAATCAAAGTGCAATTATAGTATAAAAATATTATAATGAGAATGGCATTAACCAATCAATCAGAGGGATGGTATAATAATTAAAAGGTCAAACCAACATTTGGTCTGCGTAAGAAACAGGTTATGATTTTGAATGTCAGCTACTCAATAGTATAAATCTAGTTGTATTACATGAACTCGGGTACTAGTGTTGGAACGGGTATGTGTCCAAGTGTCCAAATCGGCTAAATTGTGAAAAATTTCCATGATTTTAGTCAAGAATCAAGTGTTGGAGGTACTTGAGGTAATATGAAGATTCCATTTAACATAAAAATCTAGTATTTCTGTCTCATGGCAATAGCTCCATTTAAATAAGTGAACAAAAAGGTATACCAGAATGAAAAGGCATCATACAAGTCAAGGATGGCTATGAACTAGAATCATACCTCAAAGGCTCAAATGCATATCATTCACAAGCAATCTTGGTGTCAAAGCTGCTCAGACAAATGGCAAAAGCCTGGAAAGCGGAAATTGGGTAGTGATAATCCATGGTGAATACATCCTTTCCGACTTTTCCAAATTGAAGAATGACACTTTCATGCTCAGATCCATCCTCTAGGGAAGCAACCAGTTGAAAGTTCTTGACAGAAGCAACAGTTACACGACCATTGAAGTTAAGGCACCAGCACTGAAGTTGTTCATGCCACCTAGGGGCCTTGTTTCTCAGGTTTAACCTTCCCTCTTGCTGATTGGGAGCAGCATCAGACTGGCAATTGTCCACCCTAATAGATTTTGACCTAAAAAAGGGGATTGAAGGAAAAGAATCCACATTATTGATCAGAAATTCAGTCTGTGTGGGGGCCAGTCCTCCAGGTTTGATAGCAGAAGCAGGTATACTATCCATGACACACTGCATCTTCCTCGGACCCCTGTCAATAAAGAAGTCATTCTTCAGATATCACAAACACAACTCTCATGACTTTTAAGAATACAGAAAGACATAAATCTTCATGGTTTACCTAGCGCCCAAGACATTCAGCTCATACGAGATGCGTGCCACAGGATAGTTGCCCGCAGGAGCCCTGGGTGCAACCTGCTTGGATCCCACTAGTCTAGTAGAGCGACTTCTTATGATTCTAGCTCCAGCATTTGAGGGTTGTGCATCGTAGATTGTAAACTTTGTGCCTAGGAAATTGGATCTGGGGTTGAAAAAAAAGGATTAGAATTTAAATACTACTGAATTGTTTAAACTAAATATTGATGTGCCTTAATTTTTCAAGGAAGTTCAAGTAATAGCCAATAAGTTGAAAGAAGTGAAATTCGACTGTAAGAACAAAGTCAATATGCAGTAGAAAATACCTTAATTTCCCAACATAGGCACTACTCCCCTTGGAGACATATTCAGGATTCAGGGAAATGATGTAGTCTGTGCAAGTCGGGCGTCTACACTTCCTTGCAGCAAGAATGCACTTGCCATCGTCATATGAAGCTAACATCAATTTGAGAGTAAATGAGACTCGTGCAAACAAGGGCGGGGGAAAAGGAGAAAAACAGAAAATATAATCATGCCCATTATTAGGATTGTCTATTATTATGCATTTTATAAGCTCTAGACCTAAGTCATTCCCTATCAAGACTTGCTTTGATAAATCTATTTAAATGGAAAGCTGAATATTCGAAAAGGTACAGCAAGTTCACCTGAGCTTGAGCTAACGAATAAATAATACGTCTGGCTGCCACGATGTCTCTTAATGTAACACTGAATAAGAGTGTCTCTTGATCCAGGCTAAATAAAGCAGTATACGTAAACATTAGCTCAGGTCAAAAAGCATCTAGTTTTATAACAACAAACATTAGCTATTAATACAAAAGACTGATTTCATTCACTCATGATGAAATAATCCAATGACCACAAATTCATCAATAAAAAGTATAAGCAAAGATTTACTCACAGCCACTGATAAGCAAGATCCTTAAGAAAAAATGATAATAATTGCCTTTAATATAAAAATAAATTCAAAATCTTTTCATAACTAAGTAGGCTTCAGTGTGTTCACAAGTAATCAGTCAAGGTTGAAGTTTTGTAGCAAGCTGCCTTAACTGATAAGCAACAATTACACGGAAATAGGGCTATGTGACAGATTATATTTTTTATTTTCTTTTATATATTTTAAAGTTTTTTTATTAATATTATTATTAAATAATAAATCTTTTCAAGTTTTAGAAATAGCAAATTAAAAACTTTGTATGAAAATGGAATACATAGTTTTTCATACAACCTGTGTACAAATTTTCTCAAATACTTAATCTGATTTCAGGCTAAGAAAAGGTGTCAGCCCATACACCAATGACAGCCATGTTAAAGTCATTTTTGAGCTCTCACAAGGTGAAATTGGGCTGGAAAAGCCACAAAATCATTTGCATCATAATCATTCGCATCATTAACAGAAGTGGCTTTGCAACTGTTACAACAATTGCAGAGTCCTATGTAATCCTTACTATGAAATTGTATAAATGCTTCCACACATACATAAATTTTACAAGAGCTAGCCCAAATGCTCTTTTGTTCCCTCGCACATCAGCCTTAGAATCAATTTTGCAAATACAATGATGCCTTTAGCAGTCCCTTAAAGACCAAAAGCTTCAGCATCCTTTTTCCAGTAGAAAATACAGGTCGAAACAAGCATTAATTTCATCCATTAAAACAGCGAACAAAGCATTCTCTAGATTTCCTCGTGATATGTTTGGGTTCATAATTGAGTGACTCAGTCACCAATGTCATTCATTGAGGGCAAAAGTAAAAAGATAGTCACCAAAATATTTAGATCCTTAAACTGATGCGGCTACCCTATTCATTTTTTTTACTTAAATTCGAGATAATTTTTTTTTTTTTTTTTCAGGAAAACATATTTTATAAAAATGCACACAGGGAAAGAAACTAGACACCTTTTCAACACATTAAATTCTTCAGCAACCATATGGCATCAGAGAAGTGCAAAAAATTCCCTTCAGATCACATCTTCATTCTTCTAATTTTTTTAGGCTATGTTTTCTTTGCTTGAAATAAGGTGTTTTGGAATGATTTGTTTAAAAGTTTGACCTGGTCTAATCTAAATTTTTCTAAAGTTTGGTTTAAATTGATTTTATCAACTAGTTTGATTGACCTTTGATTGTAGTCGTATAATATTAAGTGAGGTCTTGTTAGATTTGTTCAAAGTGTATTTTTCAAATATCTAATTTTCAAGATACAACTATTAAGAAATTTTATTATTTGGCAATAAGCAAATGCAAATAAGAAAACTGGTGTGGTCTGAATTGTCCTAGTATAAGCAATAATAAGTTCCTAAAAGAAGGTGAGTAAAACATAGCCTCAGTTATCTGTTTATGGTTGGCAATAAAATTTTAAAAGCTTTAATGGCTCATTAGTTAACAAAAGAACAAAATTAGTATCAATTCTCTAAATGACTACATTTGCTACAAAACAAAAGTACTAATTGTTTAAAATTAATGCACAATACACATGGACTCACAACTAGCAAGCCACAGCACATCACCATCACATACTAAAAATGTTCTACAAATTCATATACTTTGTAGGATATAGCTTCTCATAGATATCGATAATCAACTACCAGTTTATCATTTTCAACACATCAGGGTTTCATCATATATGCTGGAAAGTAAAACCTTCTCAGCATTTTGTTTTGTATTCCATTTTCATTTACGACGATATTCTTAAAACACAATTACATCATAACTTTCCTAAAATATGATTACAACACAAAATGTGGTAAATAGAACAGGAAATCACTCACAACAAAGAATTTCCGACAATGTAATCATATCATAACATACATAATTCAAGTACAATAGTAAAAGAGGAAAATTGGTATCATCTCAAACCTGCTTCACAGATATGGGGAATGTCAGCTTGCCTGAAATCTCTGGTGTTTTGACAATATCCTTCATAGCATCCCTCCAACTCCTGCACACACCGGCACACGCAACAACATTTCTCCTTGGAGGCCAGGTACACTCAGACGCCTCAATTCTTACAAGCACTTCTCTCAAGAGCTCTGGCGGCATGTTAGCCCAACAACTCTGCTCCATAGCATCAACCACCACCAAATTATCATGGACCACTCTTTGGGACCTTGATCTAAAACTATACTTTACATCTTTCATGTCTTGTAAGATGCTCCTAAAAGACATAGTTATAACCTTAACCCTATATACTATAGTCTATATATTGCTTCCTTAACCCTTATACACCACCTTATGATATACAAATTACTTCCACATTTCCTAAACCATAATTCAAACCTGATACTATAACATCATCCAAACAATTCCACACTCACAAAACCCTAATTTCGACAAATCGACCCACATAAGAATAATACCATGAAAAGATCCCAGCAATGAGAATAAAGCTAGCTAGCAGTAATCAAACAAATACCCATTACTACAAAAGAGATAAAGCTCCAAACTTTAATTCTAATCATCAAAATTAATGATCAAATAAACCCCAATTTCTTCATTTCTTCCATCACAAAATCAACAAAACTAAAATACCCAGATCTAAAAAACTAAACAATTCACATTTCCCACCTTTGAAAAAACAATTAAAACAACCCCCAATTGATAAAACCCCAGATTAATTGAAAAAGTTATCAATCACCAGAAAAACAGCATCATATGAAATGCAAAGTAAAGTAATTAAAAAAATTGGGGATTTTTAGTAAATTGGGTAGTTAGTTAGTTGGTAGGAGGGAGAAAGGAAGGAAAGAGGGTGTGAGCCCGACATATTAGGGTTTGAAGAAGCTAAGATTTGAGTGGGGAAGTACATCTGAGTGTTTCCTGCTGTTGTTCCTTTGCCAACTCTGGCCGAAGACCATAATTTGTTGGATTGATAGAAAGTTGCCCTTTGTGTCCTTATTTATTTCCTTTTCTTTATCCGATTTTTTATTCCGCACTTTTACTTTAGGGGTCGCTTGATTACACATAAAAGAGTTTGAGATAAATTAATTGAGAAAGAGGGTATGTCAATTGCGACCTTGAACCCCCTCTGTGCTTCGAGGCGATAGGGTGATTTCGAATGAGTGGAATGATGAATCTCTATCAAGTACCAATCACACTGGTCACACGGATTCCCAGAGAGTACGAAACTTTTATCGATTACCAGACGGAGGGGCCAACTTTGGTTGCGCATATCCTCTAGTGAACAAGATGGAGATGGAGGTGAACACCTTTCTTCCACCACAATTCAACCCGGCAGAGATGTTGGCCAGATTTCGACTTCCGTTCGAGATGGATGGTCCAATGAAGGCATTGAGCAAGGCTTATCTAAGCATGATGCATAGAGTACCTTTGGAGATTTATGATAGGTACCCTAATTTTCCGAGTTTTAATATGTCGATAAAACTTTTAATTTGGAATGTTCAAGGTGCTGGAAACAAGCTCAACTCTATTAGAGAGTTGGTGCGTATTAATGATCCTATGGTGTTGGTTCTTGTTGAGACTCACTTGAGTGGTGAACAGGCAGATAATATTTGTGCTCGTATTAGAAGCACAAGGATTTAGTGGAGGAATTTGGTTATTTTGGAGAAGGGAACATGTAGATATTACGTTGTATGATGAAAATACTCAGCATATATATGACGGTTTTGATTAAGAAGAATGGAGACGATCCTTGGCTTTTTTCAGCAATATATGCAAGTCCAGATAGTAATTTAAGGAAGGATCTTTGGCGGGAGTTGGAGGGAATCCGCAACAATTGCTCAGGCCCTTGGCTTATAGGAGACGATTTTAATGAAACGATGTCAATTGAGGAGATGCAGCGTTGATGTCAAGAGTTCTCCAATTGGGTGGAAAATAGTGGCCTTACAGATTGGGGATGTACTGGTCCCGAGCATACTTGGTTTCGTGGCTTAACTCCAGAGACATTTAATTTGCACGGCTTGAAAGGGGTTTAGCTAACGAAGAATGGAGGCTTTTATTTGAAAAAGGAGCTGTACGGAATTTGCCAAGGATTAAGTCGGATCACTGCCCGATTTTAATAAGTACTAATGGTTTTGCGCCAATCTCAATGGTGAACAGACCTTTTAGATTTCAAGCGGCCTGGATGCATCATGAAAAATTTGAAGAGTTTGTTCATTCGACATGGAACAAAGCAACCCCTATTGTTCCTTTTTTGAAGGAATTTGCTATTAAACTTGAATGCTCGAATAGAGAGGAGTTCCATAATATTTTTCGAAAGAAAGCCGAGCTTTGGGCAAGGCTTGAGGGTATTCAAAATTATTGGCGCAAGGTAGGCAACCTCATTTAATTAAGCTAGAAGGCGAGTTGAGAAAGGAGATGGATGAAGTACTAGACCAAGAAGAGATGCTTTGGTTTCAAAAATCTTGTGAAAGGCAATTGTGTATGGTGATAGAAACACAAGATTTTTCCATCTTGCTACGGTTATAAGAAGAAAAGGGAACCGCATCGAAACTTTGAAGAATGGTGAAGGAGTCTGGGTTACTGAGGCCAATCAGGTGAAAAACCTGGTTCTTGAGTTCTGGCAAAGTATTTTTGAAGAAGAGAGTGTTGGGGTGAGGCATACTAATGTTCTCCCAGATTATTTTCCTGTGATAAGTCCGGATGATTGGGAGAAAGTGAGCAGACCAATAGCAGAATGTGAAGTTTATAAAGCTTTGAAAAGTATGAAGCCTTTTAAGGCATCGGGGCCGGATGGTTTTCAACCGATATTTTTTCAGAAATATTGGGAGCTTATGAAGCCTAGTGTGTGTGCGTTGGTGAAAAATGTTTTGGAAGGCAGAGAATTTCCCGATGGTTTGAATGATGCCTTTCTTGTCTTAATGCCAAAAGTAGATGTGCCGCAACATGCCAAGCAATTTCGACCAATTGGTCTTTGCAAAATTGTGTATAAGTTGGTCATAAAGGTAATTGTTAATCGATTAAAGAGCCTTTTGCCTTCTCTAATCTCGCCTACTCAGTGTAGTTTTGTTCCCAAAAGGCAAATAACGGACAATGTAATAATTGTTCAAGAGATGTTACATACTATGAGGCACAAGCAAGGAAAAGTTGGATATATGGTGGTGTAAATTGACTTTGAGAAAGCGTATGATGGATTGAGATGGAGCTTCATTTGGGAGTCACTTCTTGAACTTAGATTATCGCAATCAATGGTAGATGTGATTATGCATTGCATTACTTCTGCTCGTTTGAGTATCTTGTGGAATGGAGAACCGATGCCTTATTTTTCTCCAAGTCGAGGTATTAGACAAGGGGATCCTTTGTCCCCTTATCTATATGTCATATTCATGGAAAGACTTGCTCACCTTATTGATCGAGAAGTGAGACTTAAATGTTGGAAACCGGTACAAGCAAGCCGAGATAGATGGTCCGCAAATTTCCAACCTTACATTTGCCATTGATCTCATATTGTTTTGTGAAGCTTCAGTTGATCAAGCTGCCCTCATGAATGCGTGCTAGATAAGCTTTGTGAAGCCTCAGAAAGTAAAGTGAGTGTGGACAGATCTCGTGTCTATTTTTCTAATAACACGAATTTTGATACTAGAGATGCTATATGCAGCATGTTGAATATGGAGGCTACGGATGACTTTGGAAAATATCTAAGGGTTCCAACTTTTAATGGGAGAACTTCTAAGAAAGAGTACCAATATTTAGTAGATCGTATTAATGGGAAAATCGCTGGCTGGAAGACAAAATTACTCTCGATGGCTGTCGAGCAACTTTGGTTCAATCATGCTTGAGCTCAATTCCTTCTCATGTTGATGCAGACAACTTTACTTCCTTAGTCAACATGTGATGACATTGATAGGAGATCGAGGAAGTTTCTTTAGGGTGAGGCTGAAGGTCAAAGTAAAGTTCACACAGTTTTCTAGAACAATATCAATAAACCTTGGGATAGAGGTGGGCTGGGTATAAGGTCGATGAGACAAGTTAATTCATTGTTTTTGGCGAAGCTTGGGTGGAGGATTCTTGCGGAGCCTCATGCCTTATGGTCGAGAGTGTTATGAAGTAAATATTACAACAATAGATGCGATATCGACATGTTTAAAACAAAGCAAAAATGCTTCGAATGCGTTGAGGGAAATAATGAGTAGCATAGATGTGGTGCGTAAAGGCATAAACATGGCTGTTGGGAATGGGGAAACAAATTTCTTTTGGCATCATCGATGGGCTACGAATACGCCTATTTTGGAATTGGCTAATCCTTGCTCTCTTTTGGAGCTCCACGATGCAACGGTTAGTGAGCTATAGGACCCCAATGTTGGCTGGAAATGGGAGGTATTTGCCTCTTTTTTATCAGAAGAGGACCTTCAAGCAATAGCTTCTTGTGAATTGAGCAATAGTGCAGAAGATGTTGATGAGGTATGTTGGAATGGCAACCCGTTTGGAGGGTTTACTATAAAATCCGCTTTAGAAATAATTCGAGGGGAGGTGAATGAGAATGATGATGGGCAGTGGGAGGTTGTTTGGAAGAATCAGGCACCACAATGAGTGAGAATGTTCCTATGGTTGGCTATTCAAGACCGAATTATGACAAATAAAAATAGGTTCATTCGAAACCTCATTGATGACCCCCGTTGTCAAGTGTGTGGGCCTAGTGAGGAGTCTACTGAGCATATTTTCAGACATTGTCCAGCTGCTATTATGGTGTGGAGGAAGCTAGGAGTGAATGATAGGGAAAGACTGGGATTGGGTTTGGGATTCGAGCAATGGCTGTTGAAGAATGTCGATGTTAAATTACAAAAAGGGCAGGAGGGGTGGCCTTTGATGTTTGCGCTAACGGTGTGGTGGCTTTGGAAGTGGCGTAATGCTAGATGCTTTGACAGGGATAATGCTAATATTCCAATCGATCAGGTTGCCTTTATTTATGCTCGGGTTGCTTTGGTGCGGAAGGCTTTGTATCGTCATCATAGGGTTCACTTGCCAGCCAAGAGAAGAAGAGAGGAAATTTATGTGAAGTGGAGTTCGCCAAGGGAGGGCTGGATGATGCTAAATTCGAATGGAGCTGCCAAAGGTAATCCCGGGAAAGCTGGTGGAGGGGGCTTGATTAGAGGCCATAGAGGTGAGCTTTTTGAAGTCTATGCCATAAATTGTGGCATTTGCTCATGAACGAAGGCAGAATTGCTTGCGGTGCTAAGAGGGTTGGCAATAGCTTGGAATGGAGGTCATAGGAAGGTACAAGTGTGTGTTGATTCGTAGGTAGTGATTAAAATGTTGGTGGATGATAATTCCCCCAACTCTCCTTATATTCATATCGTTCAGAAGTGTCGTGCTCTCATATCTCGTGAAGGATGGGAAGTCACTCTTGAGCATTGTTATCGTGAGGCAAATCGGGCTGCAGATTGGCTAGCCAATTTTGGGGTGGAAGCGTCTCAACCACTTACTTTCTTCTCGGCGGTCCCGAAAGATCTTAAGGCGGTTTCATTGGAGGATTTGGGAGGTGCTTCGCATTCGAGGATGGTGCCAGCAAAGACGTAAGTATGAGTAACATAGTTGCTGTCTTGTTTTGTTTTGCTTTTTGTTGTTTTAGTGTTTTTTTTCCCTTCTGTTTGCTTTGTTTTTGTTTTCTTGTTCTGGGCTGGGCCCACTTTCTCACCAAAAAAAAGAAAAAAGAAAAAAGAAAGAGGGTATGTCATTAAATTAGTGGATTTGAGTTGGTGAAATTATAATACTTGTATTTTGATCTCGCTTATCTCTTATGACACTGTCATTTTATTTTGGGAAAATAAAAAATATCTCTTGCGTTCACATAAATATTATAAGTCTCATTGTTCAAAATCAAAAGTAGACAAAACTCATGATTTTCTTTTTTAACGAATATTATCATTAATGCGACATTATTTTAATTTTGACACTAGATTAGGTCCCACTATCATCTAAATTCAA